TCTTTGACAGGGAATCCTTGGGAAATGGGGTTAGAACTGAGGGATTTTATAAAAGAAGAGCAAGTAAAAGTATCTTTTGGAAGAGGAGTCCAAACCCTTTGATCAGAAGAAGTGGGGTCCAAGCAAACGGATTCTAGTAAATGAATTAGCTCAATAACACAACTCGACTCACCATCCCTTAACCCTCAACGAAACCCAAAGTCCCAGTTTAATATTTTTATGTTTTTGCATTTTTTTTTTTATTTTTTAGCATTTTTTGTATTTTTTTGCCTTGCTTCAAAAAGGTGCATGCCTCACCTTGCATTATTAAATTTAAAACCATGATCTTATTGCTATGGTGCAGCACATAGGTAATATGTCATCACTAGACCTGTTCACGGGCTGGGCTTTGGGCCTGACTTTACACTATGTTGAGCTCGGGCTTCGGGCCGGGCCCATTCAAAATTTGGCAAAAGCCAAGCCCGAGCCCAGCCCATGAACAGGTCTAGTCATCACAGAATGACAATGATGTCTTTGAGTCAGATCCAATTGTGTTCCGCACTGAGACAATAGTATAATATGTGTCTCATCACAGGTATGCTTATTTGATGTGGTTTGAGGCTTGAGTGGAGCTGCGCTATAGGGATTTTAAGGTTTTGCAGCTGTGACTAGGTATTATTCAGTGCAGTTCCCTTGTCATTAGGTGTAAGAGCTTGGGTTTGCAAGTGCGATGTGAATGCACTGTGGGCCTGTGGCTACTTACTTGAGTGTCTACAGCATGAATTCCATAGGGCCTAAATCCATGTACTACACCAGTAAAGGTAGAGTCATAACATCACCAGTACACAGTGGTTTAAGTACCTCACTTTTATCAGTCAATTAAAGTTTGTTCAAAATAGTATCAGAAACTTCCCTGTAATTTGAGAAAGAAATATTGACTTCCAAGGACAAGCAGAATCATGAGAATTTTTAGAGGTTATATAATTTAGAGCTGTACCTAAACAATAATTTTTAACTTAGAAGATGTAAGAATGTACTATTCAGAATTCTGATCTACCTAGAGCTTCCATGCTTCATGGATAATATCTCTTATTAAAGAACAAGACACATGTTGCCAGCCCCTACATTTTCTGATTTAAATGCTACTTGAACACCTATTCTTACATAATTTTTTGGACTGATTTAGAAAGATGTTTCAATCAGTGTAAGAAATTCAAACTTTGTAAGACTCCTTTGGAGTCGATATTTGTGCCAACCATCAATCTCGCTTACAAATTAGTTTGTTTGTTGGGTCCACTACACTGTTGGTTGCCCCAAAGTACCTAATTATCAGGAAAGGTCTGATTGAGAATCAATCTCAGATCATACTATAGAGAGTTTGGTTGTATCTATTTGGGATCCCACAATGTCAATTTTTTCTCTTCTACTGTGTATGTTGTTGCTTTCTGATAACAACTTGGCACTGGTGGTGGTGACTTTTTGGTGATTTCTTTGGCATACTGATCGTACAGGATTATTACCAGATTTTGGTGAATCCTTCAGAATTTTTAGGTGAGCTTTTATAGGACTGTTCTGACTTCTGATCAGTTCAAGATATGACTTTATCTGGCTGGCTGCAGTTAAATGAGAAAAGGTGTTACATGAATGTTGCTGCAATGGTTCTCCATATGCTTTCCAACTCCAATCTAAAAGGATTTTTTACACCGGGGCAAACAAGCTAAAACTCGATTTTTTGAAATTTTTGTATATTTTTAGCAAGTAGGGTATTTTGTCATTTTACATTTGTGTGAGATCAATACTAGTCATAGTTTAGTCATATTTAAAGATTGACAGTCATTAGTTAAGTACTTTAGGAGTTATTGAACTTTCTCATATAGTGTCAATTCTATAATTTCTATTCTAGTGGGGAGTGGGTGACCTTCAGGTCGAAGAGGGAAAAAGGAGGCTGTGGTGAGGGCAGTGGAGGGGAAAACAGGAACTGATATTGTCCGGAGCCCTGCCATAAGCAAGAACGCACCTGTCTGCTGTGAGCAACCTGTGGTGGAAGCTGAAGTAGCAATATTGCCAGAGGATGTTGGCACTCTATCTTTTCTTTCTCTTCTTCAGTCGAAGAAAGTTCTGTCTAGCAGCAGAAAAGGAGGAGGATTGGAAAGGGATTACCGTGGCTGACTCAGGAAGCACTTCAGGGAGTGATGGCGGAGGAAATGTCGATCTGGACGCAGCTTGTTGCACACCTACCCAAGCTGAGAAAAACGATACTGATCAACAGTATTGTTAGGAAGTGCTGGCTTGTAGTTTACGTGTGGATTCAGGAAGGAGGGAGGAGGTTGAGAAAGATTTAAGTGTGGCTGAAGCGGTGAACGTTTTTGAGGAGGTGGAGGGAGGAAAGTTAGGGGTGGACCTAGGAAGAAAGAGGGCAGTAGATTTAGACACAGTTACTCCTGTAGAAGAGGTTTCCAAGAAACCACGTGGGGCTAGGAATACTCGCATTGTTCACATAACCAAGGTTTTTTCACGGTTACAACATGGTTTTGTTGGAGCAGGACCTACAAAAAATTATGAAAAGGTTAATAAAAGAAGAGGGGGGAAGGTAATAGCACCTTCATATGAAGAGCTTGTGAAGGGGGACTCTCGGACTCTTAACAGTTCAGACTCTCAGGTGGAAAAAGAAAACGAGTCAACTGTCAACTCTGAAGTGAGAATTCCTGATAGCAGACTTGAGGAGCAGGAGGGGCCTAGAAGAGGCCCTATCAAGAAAATTGTTGAGAGAGAAGTCAAAATTGGTAAAAGTCTTGGGTTGCTTTTGTGGAGAGGCGAGGAGTTTGCTAAGGAAGATTTTGAGGAGTTCGAGAGAAA